CACACACACACACACACACACACCTGGAGTGAGTTTTAAGCTGCCAGGTCTGGACTTAAACTGCAGTCAACTACATGGGAGTCCAGCGATGTAACCATTATGCCATTTGGTGGTCCCAACTTTAATTTTTGTTCACAAATTGTTTAATTATTTAAAAATTTTTCCAGAGAACATTGCGTTACTGTATATTAATTCAAAGATTTTCTTGTTGGCCCTGAAAATTTCACCTGAGACATTTCCATCTGAGATCAGGCAGCAGGTTCCTTGTGTCTGTCTCTCTTACTCATGAAGAAAGTAGATAAATACACTTTTAAAAATAAATAAATGCATAAAATGGGACAATAATTTCACTTCTTTCCTGTGGTTTGTGTGAGAATTAAGTGAAGTCATTTGAAACAAAACAGCACCTGATAAATAAGTATGCAACATTTCAGAGTTTATTATATTTACTTTTTCTCATTATTCAAATACTATTGGGAAAACATCAAAAGATGTCAAAACAAGCATCTAGGAAATGTCCAAAACTGTATTCTTCTCAAGGTGGGATTGGGATGATCTCTAGAATGAAAATTGGGTGGAAGCTGGTACCACTAGTTACAATAGAAAATGTAGGAGAGGAATCAGGAGTCAGGGATGATTAAGTTCCCTTTGTCTGTAGAATTTCTGGCACCTCAGAGGCATCTGTTTGGACAGGTCCATGAATAGATGTGTCCAGAACTGAGAAGGATCTCATGGTATATGCCAAGACACCACACCAAGGCCCTGTTCTTTCAGAAGACAGAGAGGCCTAATTTCAGATAGATGAATGCTCTCACCATGTCTTCCTTACTTGAGTGTAGTAGGAAGATCTGGCCTCAGGGCTTGTAGTTTTGAATTTCCCTCCTCACAGAGTCTCATAAGGAGAACTGAATCTCCCAAGATGCCAAGCCATGGTGAAGCAATCACTGCTCCCCATAAGCCCAATGTCCACAAATATGGCATCCTTGGTAGGCATATAGTGGGCATCATATTTGTATGGTGGGTCACCCCCCTGGTTTTAATCTGGCTAAGCCATTACTGTCTATGTGCCCAGGAAAGAGGAGAACGTGTGCTTAAGTTTCTTCTAAGCCAACCAACTTTAACTATTGGACCCTGGCTCTTTCCTCCCTCCTTCCTTTTATCTTTTAGCAATATGTGACCAAAGACCAGATGGTTACTATGGAAAGCAAGCACTTTCTGAGATCACAGGTGGGGAACCTGCAGACATTGCAGATTTTCCGTGGCAGGTGAGTATTCACCAGGGAGAGGAGCATCTCTGTGGAGGCTCTATAATCAATAAGTGGTGGATTCTGACTGCATCACACTGCTTCATAAGAGGACAGTAAGTATTACAGATTTATTTTTAAAGCTAATGTGGTAGAATATTTGCTCCCCAATGCTGATTATCTTCCTGGAACCTCCCCACCCAGGTTTGTCAACCATAGAACACAGTACCAGGTGGCTAAATCCAGACCTGTGAAGCTAACTCTGACATAATTTGTTGTGGGAGTTCAGTGCCCTAAGCTGCAGAACAAATATTTCTTGGACTTTGCATCTTGCTAAGCACAGGTGTTCTTGGTCCAAAGCTCTGCAAAGTATTTTCCCAAGCATTTGTTCTCATGGAGAGATAGAGAGGCTGACAGTGACAGTGGAGTCAGAGTTCTAGAAGGGATTAGGAACCCAGGACAGGGCTCTACTCCTGACTGCGTATCAGAAGCTCCTGATGTGTGTCTAAGTTTATAAATTAGTATTTTCAAGAAGCTTCCTGGATGCTTGTTATATAGCCAGTTTAGCTACTCCTGAAAGTCAAGGTCAAGCTCCTCAGTTACTGGTGGATGGTGTGCCTTTCCAGACATTTGTTAATGACATGTGCAAGTTAGTTTGCCTAAGTGAGCAACCACTAGGTCAAGAGCTGATTGAAGGCAGTAGATACTGATCCCCACGAGCACATTATCCACTAATGTGCTGCTCTTGGTAGGCATGTAGTGGGCATTGTGTTTGTTTGATGGGTCTTCCATCTGGTTTTAACTTGGCTAAGCCATTGATGTCTATGTGCTCAGGAGACAGGAGAACTTATGCTTAAGTTTCTTCCAAGCCAGCTAACTTTGATTATCAGGCCCTGGTTCTTTCCTCCCTTTTCTTTTTTTCTTTTAGTAACATGTGGCCAAATACTAAGTGCCAAATCTGAAAAGCTAGACACTTCTGAAATCTTAGGCAGGGATTCTAGCAGAGAAGGACTGGATCTTGGGTCTGCTTCAACCCAGCTGGGCTCTCTTGGTTCTATGGCAAGTACATGGCTCTAGATGCTTCCATCCCACTCCCTTTTAGAATCACAATCTCAGACCAGCAGAATTATTTGCTCTTAGGGATCATCTTTTGCCCTTCCATCAATTACCTTTTTTTCTCTTCTTTTGTCTTGTTAAGATTTAATTTGACAGTCATACACAACACAAGCGACTTTGATGCAAAAACCTTCACTCCAGTGAAAGTGTTCAAGGTCATCATTCACCCTTTTTTTATCAGCTGGATCTTGGATAATGATATAGCTTTGGTCTTGCTCGAGTCCCCATTAGACTTCTATTACACAACGGCTCCTATCTGCCTTTCAGAAGTCACTGACATAAAGAGATGGACAAACTGCTGGGTAACTGGATGGGGCACTAACCGTGAGTTACTATAGGTCTGCCCTGTGTTAGGGGTGGGAGGAGGGTGCTCCCTGGTTGATGTTTGGAATGAGAGCAAAGTCTCAAATCACTGCTGGCCCTGAGAAATCTGACTGGGAAAACTGGAGATGTTAGGTTTTCACAGAAGAGCCCATGATGAGCCTCTTCCTCAGTCTATGTGGGAGCCATCCTTCACAGGCCTTCCTAGGCTCCTGTAGCAAACTCTATGCCCTTAGTGCTGAACATGACCTTAAAAATGGCCTCGGTGATAATCCAGGCAGTTTTCAGAGTCCAAAGAGTAAGTTGGAGGAGATTTAAAGGATGGATAAATGGGCAAAATAACAGCAATGTTGACTTGGCTCCTGGAAGTCCACACTAATGTAAGCCAGGGCAGCTCTGTTCAAACTGATGGGGTCAGCTCTGCTCTCCTGTGACAAAGTCCTCTATGGTTAAAATGCTTGACAACCATGGACCCAGATCAAAGAGAAGAGATAAAAGTAATTCTTTTCTTTATAGAATCAACCATTCCCTAGCCCTTCCCAGCCAACCCACAAAATATTCCCTTCTGTCTTTGTTCTTGGTAGCTGTATCTTACCCCACAATCCACAGAGCAGAACAAACACACTTCAGGCAATACTTCATTAACAAGCAAACAGCCAATTGGTGATCCATTTCTCAGGAGATTGTCTCCATGTGCTTCCTGGAAATTGTCATTAGAAGCTTTTCATGATTTCAAAGAAAGATCAACTTCTTAGATTTCCTCCTACTTTGTTGGCACATATTCATTGAACCTCTTCTATGTCCTAAGCAGTGTTCCAGGCACTGGGGATTCAGTACGACACACAAGGGAAACATCCTCATCTTTGGAGAGTGAACATTCTAGGTGTTGGGTTTACTTGCTCATAGGCAATGAATACATGGAGGACACTGGCATGATTTAAGCCCATCTTTATCTCCCACGGGCCCCAGAACATAACTTACCATCATGGGCTTTCCTTACATTCTTAGATTGAACACAATACGATTTCTGAACTCTAGCTTGAGCCTAGTGCCTTCTGCAGGTAAGAAGATGGTGTACTCTGGCTGAGCTTGAGTAACGACCCAGTTCTGTATGCTCTGGATTCAGAGAGTGAGCTTGAGATTCTCCTAGACATTCCTTCCACCCCTTCCCTGCTCAGTCCAAATTCAGTTTACTCTCTGAGTCATAAGGAAATTCCTTTGTCATTGAGGTGAACAGATTTGACATTGCTGGGATGCTTGACCTTAACCCAAAGAAACCACTTTGGGCTCAAGACCTTGTCTCTATCTGCTTCTTATTAGAGCCTACGGGTTTACAAAGTTCCCCTTCAGTGCTGCAAAAAGTTGACCTTGATCTGGTTGATTGGGATATGTGCTCTAAGTCTTTGCCTACAATCACCGCCAACATGCTGTGTGCTGCAAAGGATGGAAAGGACTCCTGCCAGGTAAGTGACTTGCTCTAGGCTTGAGAAGGCTGACCAACACTCTCAGGATAAATGGAACCTCTCTTTATCCTTCAGATAGGAAGGTATACCAGTTGCCCAGGACTGCTGTAACAAATGACCATAGACTGGGCAACTTAAAACAATAGAAATTATTTTTTCACAGTTCTGAAAGCCAGAAAATGTTTTTTGACTTGTAGAAGCATCACTCCAATCTCTATCTCAATTTTCGCATGGTCCTCTTCCCTCTGTATGTGTCCTCGCTGTTCCTGCTTTTTTCTTTTTATTAAGGACACCAGTCATTGGATTAGGGTCCCTTCTAATCTAGCATAACCTCGCCTGCCTTTAGCTAATTACATCTACAAAGACCTTATTTCCAAATTATGTCACATTCTGAATGGACATGAGGTTCCAATTAAACTCTCTTCAAACTAGTACAGATACTCTATAAGGTTAAGCAGATGCTTGTAACCAAAGGGAAATAGTAAGGAACAGTGGTTAGAGGTTCAGGCTCTGGAGTCAGACAACCAGCTTCCCAACCAGCTCCTCTGTTTACTGCCTGTGTGACCTGGGCAAGTGAATTTCCTCTGTGCTGTGCCTCTTCAGATTTCCTCATCTGCAAAACAGAAATACTGAGAAGTCGTACCTTTTAGGGCCATTGTGGGAAGTAGGTGAGTTAGTGCACATGAAGCACTGAGTTAAGGTATCAGTAAATGTTACATATATTGTTTTCTTCATCTTCTTCTTCACCTGTTTAATACTCAAGAGCACATACACTGTTTCTCTAAACCCACAGAAGTCTTATGAATTAGCTTTATGAGACAGACAGTTCAGATGGAGAACCTGAGGATCAAACAAGAGGAAAGCCTTGCTTAGGATTTAATAGCAAGGTAATTTATAGACCCAGAATTTTAACCAAGGCATGCTGACTTTTTATATTAGAACCACTTTTTGTATTCCAATCAAAACCCTGCTGGCCATGCCTAGATTTGCCTTGTCCACCAACCACAAAAATAATGGGAGTTATAGTTGAGTAAACACTTGCCATATAGCAAGACCTCGACTCAGTGGTTTTCATCTAGTCACAGAGCTATCCTGCAGGAGAGGTACAATTATTAACATCAGTATAAAATTTGAGCCTTAAAATGCATTCAGTTAAATATTCACACTGGGATTTGAACTGAGGTCAAATGCATTCTAAAAAAGTAAGAGCCTAAGTGTACCACTGTTCTGCCTGGCAACTTTCTTTTTATTTGGCCTTATTTATTTGTTTATTTATTTATTATTTATTTATTTATTTCAACCTGAGAGGGATAAAGAGAGAGAGAGAAGGAAAGAGAAAGCAAGCCACCAGGCCCGGGATTCGAACCGCCATGTAGGAGTCCAGTGCACTCAACTATCATACCACTTGCCAGGTCCTTTCCTGGCAACTTTCATGTAAATACCTCATCTCCAGAAAAATCATTATAATTCTTCATTATAAGAACAGGTCCTGTGACTTTAAAAAATATTTCCTAAAGAACAGATTGGTTCAAAGTAAGCTGATGGGCACAGCAATTTGTTCATAATAGCAATCTCGTTTAAAAATTAAAATAAGCACATATCCTGTTTTTTGTTTTTCTGGTTTGAATTTGAATTTTTAACAGATCATTGAGCAGTGCTTTTGTTCTAACTCTTTGTGTGTCACTTATCATTTTCAGTAGTTTTGTAAGCTTTGAAATAATGCACACAGCCTGATCCTATGACCATAAAATAACGATGGATGCGTATTTGTACATCAAGATGTAGAAAGTGACATTTAAATAGGAGTTGTCTTTACATGGGTGGGATTAGAAGTGTTGTTAATTTTATTATCTATTTGAATACATAGTCAAGGAAATTCAAGTGGTACACATGGGGTATACAATGAAGAGAGTCCCCATTTATGTTTGCTTGCCCCCAGTTCGCTCCCCAAAGAAAAAGCATTGTTACACAGAGGTGTATTCTTCCTGAGAAACTTTTTTCAAACACATTTGTGTATGTATGTATGTATATATCAATGTACTTATTTATATAGTTAAGGGTTTTCTTCATGTTCTTTTTCATATCTGAATTTTCCATTTTTCAAATGATTGCACATAACTCTTTAATAGAATTTAAAATTACTTTATTTAACTTTATTTCTTTTTTTTTTTAATATATGACTAGAGAGAGACAGAGAGAGAGAGAGGAAGAGAAGGAAAGTGAAAAAGCAAGCTGCCAGGTCCAGGACTCAAACTGTGGTCAGCCATATGGGAGTCCAATGCTTAACCACCAAGCAACCTGCTGCTTCCTTAATAGAATTTTCTAAAAGGTCCAAAAGATGGGGGTATGAAAGTTACCACATTCCTCAATTTTCATGCCATTTATATCTGCTCTGCTTACTCATGCAAATTTGGCAGTGGTCTTCATGTTTTAAAATGTGTAAATTGCTTAAAATGTAATGCTTTAAACCACAATATAGCATTTTGACACGATATTTACATTATTTGAATTTTGTCGCTACCAGTATGTGTTCCTACTGTACTCACATAATGATCTGTTATGAAACTTAGTGGATTTTTTTTTTAAACTTTTTTGCTATTAGGAATAATACAGAAAGAAAAAAAATGGGCTGGCTAAAAATGGATTTGGGGTGAAAAGTTGGGGGAAATTTTGAAGAATTCCTAAAGACGACAGTGCTTAGAAGCTAAACCACTCTTTGGTATATCAAAAAGAATGCATAGGGACGAGCAGATGGCATAGCGGTTACACTGCTGGATTCCCACATGGCTGACTGTGGTTCGAGTCTTGGATATGGTGACTTTAAACTCACACCAGGCATGTGTGCATATGTGCTCAAAATCCCAAGAGGAGAATGGAGGAGAAGGGATTGCAGTGTGGCCATCCCCCGTGGTGGTGGGGGGGGGGGGGGTTTCTCACTTTCTGTCTGTCTCTGTGCATCTCCAGTGAGCACACACACCCTATAGCAAAATCTCTCTCAAAAAAAAAAAAAAAAAAGAAAAAAAAGACTGCATAAGTCTAGATGATCATGATAGAGATTAATTTTTTTTTTTTACCAAATTGTCACTCACCATGTGGCTTTTCACCACATTGCCTGCTACCTTTTCCAATAGCTGCAGAGCACGCACATGTCGTTGGAGTGCCCAGTCAAAATTAGAAGTCCTTTTTGTCTTGCACCAGCTGCTTGCAACTTGATAGGCCATAGGAATACCTTGTTATTCTCCCTTCTACTCTCAAACAACTTTTCTCTCCTAGGGTGACAGCGGGGGGCCTCTGGTTTGCCAGAAAAAGGAGAATGAAAGTCTATGGTACCAAGTGGGCATTGTCAGCTGGGGCATGGGCTGTGGCCAGAAGGACAAACCTGGAGTATACACGAAGGTGTCAAATTATCTGTCATGGATTAACACAGAGACAACGTTTGAAGGAAAGCCTTTCCTGTATGGGCAGGATTCCGGATACAGTTTGCTTCCTTCACCCTGGGCCACCTTGTTACTGTCTTGGGGGATGCTTCTAGTACACTGGTGATTAAACACTGTCTCAAAACCAAGCGTCCCTCTAAGCTTGTTAATTAAGGCTGAGGGTGAGTCCAAGTTGCAAGAAAAGACTTTCTGATGATTAGTTGATAATTATATGAACTAACTATGCCTATGAATTTATGTGAATTACGTGAACCAGTTACATGCCTATAGGAGTGCAGATGGTCCCTGACATACGATGATTCAACTAAAAGTTTTCTGACTTGATGACGGTGCAAAAGGGATACATATTTAGTAGAAACTGTACATCAAGTACCCAAATAACCATCTGTTTTTCATTTTCAGTATAGTATGCAATACGTTACATGAACTATTCAAAAGAAGTAAATTATAGGCCCAGAATTCTGACAAAGACATGCATACTTTGGGGTTCAAACCATTTCTCAGGTTCTAGCAAAAGCCAGCAGAGCCATGTCCAAATATGGCAGATCCAGTAAGCACAACATTGGGAAACCGTTCAGTGACAGCTGTGCCATGGTTTGACAGAGGCCCAGGCTGCATTTCACTCCATCTGGATGAGTGGGTGGACCCTCTGTCCTTTATCCAATCATCCATGGGCATGATTTTTCCAAATTGGCAAAACTAGGTGCAATTTTTTTTTTAAAGATGTGTTTGCCTGAGTAGAATTCTTTGAGCTTTGAAATAATAATAAAAAGAGATAGAAAAAGGGAAAAAAGAAAAAGAAAGAAACAGGGACCAGCAGATAGCATAATGGTTAAGTCGCTGGACTCCCATGTAGTCAACCTCAGTTCATGTCCTGGACTCAGTGACTTAAAACTCATGACAGGCATCTGTGCGTGAGTACGCAAGATCCTGAGAGGAGAACGGAGGAGAAGGGATTGCGGTACGGCCACCCTCCTGAGGGGTGGTTTCTTGCCTTCTGTCTTCCTGTCTCTCCAGCGAGCACACGTGCCCTTATAGCAAAAATCTCTTAAGAAAAATGAAAATTATTAACTTTTGTCCATATGCATTCTGAGAAGAAAGAACAGAGAGGAAGAAAAGATGGCTGCTCTGGGTCTGGCCTTCACTAGCTTTTTCCAGAACAGGACAGCTTGTCTAGCATCTGAATATCTAAACAGTAACAGTGAAGACACATTTATGTAGGTGAGAGCAGGAAGAATCAGTATATAGTTATTTTATTTCTTTTTGCCAAAGCTGCAAGGTTACCCCTAGAATTCTGCCAGAAAGCAGATGAGGTAGTGTCCAATACGTACATTTAAAAAGAACTTTCTTTGCTCCATAAATGAAGAGCCAGTGATAGGCTCCCTGGGCTTCAAATTTGTAAGGCATAGTCTTGTGTCTCAGCTGAGGGCAGGAGGCTGATAGAGAAGCTGAAACAACCTAACTACTCTGCCAAGCTCCCAAGAGAGTGAGGGGAGGGAGGAGAGGGAGGAGAGGAACTGTGTGTGTGTGGTGGGGGGGAGGGTGTGAGGACGTAGGGACTGC